ACATTTAAAAAAAAAAAAAAAGGATTTTCCTGGGGCACCTGGCTGGCTCAGTCATTACAGCATGGGATTCTTGATCTCAGGGTCACTGAGTTCAAGCCCTACCCTGGAGCTTAGAGCTTACTTAAATAAGTGATTCTCCCAAATACAGTCATTCTCCCAAAAAGAGAAACTGAGTTTCTGCTGAGAATCACTGTTCTCCACCAACCTGTACTACTATGTCTTTCATGTAATCATATTCCTCAGGGTGCAGGAAAGCTGTGAATTCTTCCTTTGTGGCAATAAGGTCTCCATCCTTGTCTGCCATCTTAAATCTCCGCTCATCTCTAACCATCATTTGTTTATAGTTAAAACCATCATCAGGGTCTGGATCATCTAGAAAACAAAACATTTAAGTCAAATTTTAACAGACTTCCACAAAACATGAAAATGTATGGGCTGAGGAATCAATTTCCAAGAAGGATAAACCAAGCAATGAAGAAACAACCTGATTACACAGGTAAAATTGTTAACAGTGTGAAAACATTCAGTTTTGGTCATCAAAGTCAGGTCCAAGTTGAATGTAAATGTTTGCCATCCAACATGGAACCCTGGCTCCTTGGTTAACCTAGGTACCGCTTCACTATTTTTGGTGTTAAGGCTACTAGAGGGTTCCAGCTTTCTAGTTATATCTGAGAGGCAGTGGTAGTTTTAAAATCATACTGTCTGGGTTTGAATCCTAACTCTACCACTTCTAGCTGTGTGACTGTGGACAAGTAACTGTGCTTCAATCTAAATGGAGGTAATAATGGTGCCTGTCTCATAGGACTGCTATGAGGGTAAATGAGCAAATAAATCTAAGTGCTGAGAATAGTGCCTGGCATATAGCTGGCTTTCAATAAATGTTAGCTATTGCTATTTTTATTAAAGATTCGACTCCCACCGAGAAGCTAGATATCAAAGGTTTTCTATCTCATATTAAGGTCACTTTGATTCAAGCAACAGAATTACTACCGTTTGAAAAGTCACACTTCAGTTTTTTCAGCCAACTCAGATTATCTACCATGAATTACAGGTACCGTTTGCCACCCCTCTCCCTCATTTATGTAAGATTCTAGGATGTAAAACTAGAGTTACGCAAAACAGGTCAGAGGTTGCCTAGGGACAGGGGATAGGGAAGGTAAGCAGGATTATGAAGGGACATGAGGAAATTTTTTTGGGTGATGGATAAGTTCGTTGTAAGAATGGGTTCATTGGTACATACCTATGTCAACTCATCAATTGTGCATTTTAAATATGTGCAGTGTCCTATATATGCCAATTATACCTCAATACAGCTGTTATAAAAAGTAAACATTAGATTACAACCAAACTTTCTGGACCTATCCATCTGTTATGATGTTGAACTATATAAGCAGTAGCTATTTAGTCTCTAGAAGAATGAAATTCAGTTTAAGTTGAAGGAGTTATCTGTAGGAAAAAGCCCAAAATAAATGGACAAAAAAACCTTTTCAATCTGCTGTGTGGACCAAAAGAAAGCATGTGAAGATATCATGAAATGTAAAAGACACCACAATCAAGCTAAGAAACAATTGTTCCTAGAACATATTGCTTAAATAAAGAAAGATATGGCACTAGTTTTATAAAAAAAACCCACAAGGCCCCTTTAACAATATCACACTGCTGACTTTTGATACCAAATTTCAGTCCTTCCAAATTTCAAGCACGGTTTGGAAAACAAAAACAAACTACCACTCTGTTTTGAGAGAGTTTTGGGCAGTTTGAAACTTCACGTTTTGTTGAGCGTCAAAATTCAGTAAGACAGCTTATTGAATCGTGACTATACAGGATACTCAAAACCATAATAGGTTGAAGATGGAGAATTTAAGGAAAATACACTTTTTAAAGATACTAAGTCGTCTCTTCTAAACAAAGTTTCAGTACCGACTCCGTAACAAAATAAAGATAACAGCAGACAACTGACACAACAAGACTAGATTCTTAACTAAGAGACCTTCTCTCCACCTCAGGGTAAAATGTGGTGACTGGAATCAAGTAGCCTGATAACATGCACACAAAAGATAAAATATTTTATTTTAAATAATTAAATTCATGTGTTTGCTGTCCTTGTTTGGGGTGCCGTATCTATCCTAAGTACCAGCTTATTGTGCTAGCCAGCCTGCAGTTTCAAGTAGGCTCTTGATCTAGTTTTGGGATAGCCAGGATGGATCTTAGTATTCCATATTTTGCTTGTAGCAGAAAGTGTTAACCTTCCTTTTGTGGAAAGCAGATTCATTAAGACAGATTTTAATTAAAAGCTAAGATGACTTATACCTGAACTCAAGATTAAATCAAGAACATACTCTCACCAAAAAAAAAAAACCCTCAGCGCTTCTCTAAGCCACCTCATTACCCCGAGTGCTATCCACCCACATGCCTCCACGGAAAGATGCCTTATAAAGATATTGCTTCTCTAGCCAGTGCTTCAGCTTATTCAGTCTCAGTAGAAATACCCATTACATTGAATCATTTGACCTGAGAGCGCAATGGAGCTCTCAACAGATTTTTATGCACATAATCATACAAAGAGCTTAAAATTCATTTTGGGTAGCAAGTAAGTGCCTAGGTCTGAACTGAGATTTATTAACACACCATTCTGTTTAGATCACCAATAACCTAGCCTTTGCTCTATATTTATAAGTCCAAATAAATCAGGAGGGTGCTGAGTCTCAGCCAGAAAGCAAGAAACACGGGTGCCTATCCATCTGCACTGACTTCTTAATACACATGTTCTTAATTGGGTGAAGGATATGTTTGGTTCTTGGCTAAGTGTCAAGCATGAAGAAAGATTGCCACTTTCGTCTTAGGAATGAGAACAAGCTCAATACAGAAATATACAGAAATGCATGCAGTCCTGTAATTAACACAGACAGCTGGCTATCCAGTGGGGGAAACAGACCATTATACACTCACTGCTTGTTAATCAGTGGTGGAGAATGCCTGCTTTAACCCAGAAATTTGCCTCATTTCCAGGATAAAAATGCAAGAAGTAACATTTATACATTCTTATCTCAAATTGTAACTACGAAGAGGAATCGCATAACAAAAACACCCTAATCATCAACTCAGTAAGACTGCCACCTAGCATTCAAAAACAGGCAAGTGTAGTAAGTAAAAGAAGATTACTAACAGGTGGCCCAAGCATACAAGCTACCAAATCAACAGAAAGCAATCACATTTGCCTTGAAGCATTTGCATAGCAGGCTGATAAACTCATGTGCCAGAGAAAACAAATGGGAAATTTTCTTTTCTAAACTTCAGTAAGCAGACATACTAAAATTGTTAAATTTTATCAAGGAAAGCTATTTGATCTTTATTTTATTATGGAAGGTCAGTAATTTTCCTATTCTCACCAGTTATACAGGAATCTAGCTTGAATTTCAGGGTCACCACTTTAACGTGACCACATCAAGAGATATTTCAAAGTCTCTTGCTTTGCATTATTGAAACAATGCCTTTTAGAGGAGATTTGCTCCAAAAATGATCTGAGGGATCACAGAAAGAAAAATTGCTAAAATAATATCTGAAATGCTAAAGATGTAGAAGATGCCGGACCTTACAAAACTAAAATACTTAATATGCACATTTAAAGTTAATAAAGGGAAATCAGTTCACAGCATTTGGACTATTTTTAAAGTGCACAATTTCTCCCTTTCCTTCACTGTGTGACCCATTTGTTTCTTTGACTCAAGACCATGGTCTCTATCAGGCTGACATCTTGCCCCTTACCCAAGTAAGTGCCATAAGTCACGTTTCTGTACTCATCCCAGGAGATTAAGCCGTCTTGATTCATATCAAACTCGTGCCATTGGTTTTCAACATTGTCATATATGTATTTCTTCTGGGCGTGCTTAATCCAGGATTTCAGCTCCCCCTCCGTCACAAACCCATCTTTATCCACGTCTATTTTATCTACAATCATTCTACAAGACAAAACAGTTACGTTTCAAGGTGCCAGCTCCACAAGGCTTTTTCCCCCAGATAGTAGGGACCTACCTAAAACGTAGCCGTAGGTGGCATTTTTATATTCCTCCCAGGAAACGAGGCCGTCCTCATTGAGGTCATGCCCCTTCCACTGTCGCTCTACATCCTCGTAAATCCAGCGCTTTTGTGCAAATTTAATCCAGTCTTTGAGCTCATCCACAGTGACAAACCCGTCCTTGTCGCCATCTATTTTACTTACAATCTTTCTGTAGAAAATGCAGAGAAATCCAGCAAGAGGTTAAAAAGACACAAGGCTCCAGACTTAGCCAGGTGTGTGTTGTGACCACAGGTGTTGCCCAGGGCTAAAGCATGGACATAAAAATTGTCTCCAAAAAAAAACCTTCCAGATAAGCACCTGAAAATATTTCTCTTAAGTGGCCTGTTACTGGTAACGAGCCATCTAGACAAGGCAAGCGCAGTCCATGGCTGGTGCACTTACACGCAAAAGCAAACCCAGTCTCATCCTTTTAGGGGTCAGTTACAGCCAATGGTCAGAATCCAGGAGTGAATACCCATTCCTATCTGGGTTCTCCATTCTTTGTATCAAACAACATGAATCTTTTTTTTTCTTTGCATGTTGCCCTTTGTGCAGGGGCCACGTTAAAGTTAATCTTCTTTGTATCTTTCCAATATGTGTGCTGCCAAAGCGAGCATGACAAGCAAATCCTTATGCTTTTCTTTATTGCTTTAGGAGAATCTCAATTTATTGGTAAATAATCACAAATCACTGATAGGGTTTTCTAAAAATTCAAAAATGTAAACCAGACTTTAAAAAGTTCAGCTGCTTAAAAAAAAAAATAACACTTTTGTTAAAAATATAAAGATAACAAAGATAGTTCTGGGATCACTTATACCTCAAGTCAAGATTATTAAAAAACAAAAGCCAGAAAACCAAAACCCACACACATACACAAAAAACACCCCAAAACCAAAAAAGTAAAAAAACAACAACACAGGTACACAAAGACAAAAGGACAGATGCATGCTTGTTATAAAAAATAGCTAACAGCTAATTATATACTATGTTGACTTGGATTTTCACATAGAACCACAAAAACAGAGAACTTTGAGGAAATGATGTGGTAAGAATGTCCACCGCTCACTTATAGAGACTAAGACAACCTATGAAAAGTCAACCAAGTGGCCCAGTATGGAATAGGAACTTCAAATCAAGATGTCCAAGTGAAATTTTGGCATACTCCTATGCTCTATTATTTGCAGGATGGACAGACTGTCACTTGGTAGCAAATAATGTCTTTTCCCAGTCTGCATTCGTTTCATGAATACAACATCGGAAAGTGATTAAAATCACAGACTACTAGTGATACGATGAAAAGATATCGTATGATATCATCTTGATATTGGTATGTTGTTAGCCTTAACTGGCTAGTACTTAAACTCTCTAATTTAACAAGCATACTCCTTCACGAAATATGTAATCTTTCAGCTTTTGCTCTAAAGTATAAATAGAAAAGGGAAAGCAGTAAGAAGCTATCTCTTAAATACCTTCCTCTATCTACACGGACATAAAAGTTTTTTTGTAACTTTAACCCTGGAATTTTAAAAAATATTAACACATTAAGTTATACCAGTATTAAAAACTTTTGCATTATCTATAATGGGACCTAGTTTATGTCCAAATGGTACTAACTACCAATAGTGCAATAGTGCTACTGTACCATTAAGAAAAAAAAGGTAAGGTATCAGAATGCCTCCCATTCTCAAATGAAAATTTTAAACAGCCTAAAGAGGGTCACTCAGATAAGGATCTCTCAGATAAAGAGCACATAACTGCTCAAGAGGGGCTTTTGTTAATGAAGTTGGCTGAATGCCATTCCATTTATTCCAACAGAAATATCTCAAATGGTTTAGCCCAGATGTTGGCAAACTTTTTCCGAAAAGGGACTGATAGTAAATAGCTTTGATTTTGTGGGCCACATATGGTTTGTCACATATGTCTATACTTTAATAACCATCTAAAAATAAAAAAGCCATTCTTATCTTGCTGGCCATCCAGCCTGCAGGCAGCTGTGAAAATACACTGGAAGTGGGTATGTCCCATTTTAGGCACTAGCTCTAAAGGCCGGTGCAAATTTATGAAGCTAATGGTGTTGTTTTCCTGTGACCTACAGATGTAGTTATGATGCCATCAAGTAAGCATTTATTCCAGGGTAGACACAATGCACTTAGTGGACCTTATGTTATTTCTCCTAAGAGGTAACATATGCCTCTACTCTACTTTTTTCAAGAGTCAAAAAGCAAATCAGTAAGTAGGCTCCAGGAGGGTTCATAATATTCCTGAAATATTCAGCATACAAAATCTTATATATATTCCTACGTGCACTGTTCTGAGAAAGGGTCTTTTGCTTTCCTTAGACTCTCAAAGGGGTTGACCTGTGACCTAAAAAAAAGGATGATGAACTGCTCTAGTTCATTTCTAAAGCAACTACACCAAGTGTGAGAACTTTTTAATATTTACGCTCACCACCTCAAAACAAACAAACCCTCATTTGAAGGACACATAAATGAAAATTAAGTAGACTTAAGACCACTGTGAGTGACTGGGGGAGAATACACACATAAGAAAGTATGTTCTATTTGCCAACATTCTTAAGAAAAAGGGAAAACTAGGGGCGCCTCAGTGGCTCAGTCAGTTAAACGTCTGACTTCGGCTCAGGTCATGATCTCATGGTTCGTGAGTTCAAGCCCCGTGTCAGGCTCTGTGCTGACAGCTCAGAGCCTGGAGCCTGCTTCAGATTCTGTGTCTCCCTCTCTCTGCCCCTCCCCAGCTTGTGCTCTCTCTAAAATAAATAAACATTAAAAAAAAAATTAAAAAGAAAAAGGGAAAACTGTATTAAACTGTTTTAAAAATAGTGAATTTTTGCAACTACAGGTATGAAAATGATCTTCTGTCCATCACTTGCTTTCTATATGGATGGAAAAGAGGAGGAGAATCTGTTGTTCCCAACCTCTGGTATATAGTCACCTACCAAAACAATGTTTAAAATGCCACAGTAGGGGCGCCTGGGTGGCGCAGTCGGTTAAGCGTCCGACTTCAGCCAGGTCACGATCTCGCGGTCCATGAGTTCGAGCCCTGCGTCAGGCTCTGGGCTGATGGCTCAGAGCCTGGAGCCTGTTTCCGATTCTGTGTCTCCCTCTCTCTCTGCCCCTCCCCCGTTCATGCTCTGTCTCTCTGTCCCAAAAATAAATAAACGTTGAAAAAAAAAAAATTTAAAAAAATAAAATGCCACAGTAAGCTTAAAAAAAAAAAAAGTTCATCTGGAATCCTTGCTTACAATAGTATATCACCTCATTTGTCATTATCTCCAAAATTTAGGAGAAGCATATAGTACTTGTTCATACATTCTATGAAAAACATGATTTTACCCATCTTATTCTAATCAAATATGGAGTCTGCTCATGTGTGTTGAACTTTTGTTATTTACTGATGACAAAAAGGGACGTTGTCTCTACTGAAAAGTGCCAGCAGAGCTACTCCACCACCTATATAGAGCCAGAACACACTGATTAACACCAAGTCTAAAGGCCCTTCATTATTTAAGAGTAACTCTGTGAAGAGCCATGTACAGACCCAAATATGGGTCAGACATGCACATTATTAATAGGTGAGACATGAAGACCGAGAATACTCTCATGCACCCCTATTTTTAGCCCAAATGTTAGCATAGTTATAAGATTAAAATTAAAAGTGAGCATGGTCTCTTAAAATTAGAAAAGCAACCTAACAGAAGACTGAGTCCTTAATGTATTTGTTTTTCCTATTTTCAAATGTTTGGAGATAGTTTCTCATTCTACATAGCAAAATCTTTTGAGTATTTCTGTCAGTGTTTAAGAGTAAAATATTGGGGGCACCTGGGTGGCTCAGTAAGTTGAGCAACCAACTTCAGCTCAGGTCATGATCTCACAGCTCGTGGGCTCAAGACCCGCATTGGGCTCTGTGCAGACCTTGCTCGAAGCCTGAAGCCTACTTCAGATTCTGTGTCTCCTTCGCTCTCTGCCCCTCCCCCACTCACACTCTGTCTCTCAAAAAAAATAAATGTTAAAAAAAAATCTCTTCGGGGCGCCTGGGTGGCTCAATAGGTTAAGTGTCTGACTTCAGCTCAAGTCATGATCTCACGGTTTGTGAGTTTGAGCCCCATGTCGGGCTCTGTGCTGACAGCTCAGAGCCTGAATCCTGCTTGGGATTCTGTGTCTCCCTCTCTCTCGCGCCCTTCCCCCATGCACACTCTATCTCTGTGTCTCTCAAAAAGGAATAAACATAAAAGAAAAATTTTAAGGGGCGCCTGGGTGGCTCAGCCGGTTAAGCGGCCGACTTCGGCTCAGGTCATGATCTCACGGTCCGTGAGTTCGAGCCCCGCGTCGGCTCTGTGCTGACAGCTCAGAGCTTGGAACCTGTTTCAGATTCTGTGTCTCCCTGTCTCTGACCCTCCCCTGTTCATGCTCTGTCTCTTCCTGTCTCAAAAATAAATAAAACGTTAAAAAAAAATTTTTTTTAACTCTTAAAAGAATAAAATATAGTACTGATCAGTTAGCAGATAATCCAATGAAAGGATAGAATTTATTCTGAAGTATCACGCCCAAACAAACCACATAATGTCTTCTAATCAAAGCGCTATCCATGATGGCAAAATACTTTTGGAAATTCTTCTGTGGTACAACTTTCCAAACAAACCTCTTGAATATAGTTCAGAAAGTTACACCAATGGTGCTCATTAAGGAGAAAATGTTCACTAAGTTAACTAAACTGGGGGCATCCCACTTTGGCTCAGGTCCTGATCTCACAGTCTGTGAGTTTGAGTCCCACGTCGGGCTCTCTGCTGTCAGTGGCAGAGCCCGCTTAAGAGCCTCTGTCCCCCTACCCCTCTCAAAAACAAATAACCTGCATTTCCTTAAAAAACAAGGCTTTAGGAGAGCCAAAAACAAAAAACAAAACAACCCAAAACAAACAAAAACATTCTCAGATGCTCAGAAATTATCAACTGGTATGCCATCAATTTTCCAGGTACAAAGATGCCTGCTAAGACCACAGAACCCAACTATGACCCAGCTGTTACTGAAACGGCAATTAATACTTGAACATTAAGACCATTACTTATTACAATCTTCTAAAAGGCATGATTGGTTTGCTTTTGTTTTTAATTAAGCAAATATCTGAGAATGAAAACAAAGAGGATAAAGGATGTTCTCAGAAATCATCAACTTTATAGAAATTAGCCCAGGGGTCTCATTTGCAGTTTATTATCCACTCAATGGCTTGGCTTGGGGCACAATGAATACTTGGTCACAGATCATTTTTAAAAATTAAAAGTATCGGGGATGAGAAGCCTTCCCTGTAATGTTCCTCAGGGAGCAAGACGCAATTCAATCTGGGTCCTGTAGCATTTGGTGCTTTTGTGCAAAAATGACTTTGCTTTGTAGAATGAGGTAAAAACCATTATTCAGTGGAGAAATGTATGAAAGCAAGCAATTAATTACATTTTAGTGGTAGCAATCCTGTGGCTAGCTTTCAGAAGATGTAGTTCAAAACAACTTTACTGGGTTGCCAAGCCAAAAGAGAAAAAAGAATGAGCTGGCTTATAAAGAAATGTCATTACTTTAGCCCCCTGAGAGCTGGCATCTTACCCAAGTCTTTCCTTGCTTTCTTCTGGTGTCAGCTGATCAAAGGTCTTTGCTTCTTCAGCACCCAAGAAGGCATCATGGTCATAATCAAAACTCTGAGCATCATTGTGAACTTTGTCGCTGAGCTGAGGCTCATGGTGTACACGGTCCTTCTTTTCTGTGGGCTTGCTCAAAGCAAAGGCTGTGCACAAGGACAGGCACATAAGAAACTGTCGCAGGTCCATGATAATCAGATCTTAAAGAAAAACAAAGATTAGTTAATTCCAGAAGCAGTGTGCTTTGTAATTAAACAAGAAATTAAAAGCTTACATCCAGTTACTAATTTGATTTCACCCCAAATATTACTACTTAATCCATAAAATAAGAATGGTAGAATATGAGACTTTCCATTTTTATGGTAAGAATTTTTCACCAAGTTTCCTTCATCTGATTGGAAGTTGACAAGGAATCAGTTAAAATATCCACCTTGTAAGTAGGCCCCCTTTAAAAAACACCAAAGTAGAACATTAATCCTTTTAAAAAGTCAAAGAACCAACATTTAAATTCAAACTAACTTACTGACTCCCAACAACTTTACTTTTTGTACTACATCAGAGGTCTGGTCTTTAAACCTGGCTGGTTATTAGGATCACCTAAGAAGCTTTAATAAAATTCCCCCTATTGAATTAGAATCTTTGAAGTTGAATGAATGCATCTGTAGTTTTAAATGCTTCTCAGGTGATTCTGATGATCATTAGATTAGGAACCATGAAACATTTGAGCAGAGTCCTTCTCCTATATATAGCACCAAGTTGCCTCTCATTATTTATGCTCAATCTCAAATCATCTTCAAAGATCAAACCATTCAGATGGTACAGTGATGGGTAACACCTGCTTCAGCATTCCTTATACTGTGTTTCCCAAACTTGCCCGGGCATAAAGACAGCCTAGAGTGCTGTTCAAAGTACAGGTTCCCAGGTCCTAGTCCAACTGTCAGAATCTCGGCAGTCACAGGTGATTCTAATGAACAAGCACAAGGCTGGAACACTTTACTGAAAAATGATTAAAAATTGCAAAGAATATGGAGAACAAACAGAGTGCTACTGGAGGGATTGTGGGAGGAGGGATGGGCTAAATGGGTAAGAGGCATTAAGGAATCTACTCCTGAATTCATTGTTGCACTATATGCTAAGTAACTTGGATGTAAATTAAAAAAAATTAAATAAAAATACCAAAAAGAAAAAAAAAACTTGCAGAGAAGCTGCAGGATGGCAACTTGTTTATCAGACTCTACAGATACCCCTCAGTATTGTCTAGAGAGGTTATGGTCTTAGAGAAAAAACTATAAAATTAAAAATCAAAAGGAAAGATTTTCCCAACTTTTGTATTTTAACTAACCTTTCACCAGTAGAATATGGATTCTGAATGCTTTTCCCCCTGCAGTTAAGTTTTTGTAAATTCATGTAATCTCTTATTCATTTCCGTTTGTGATTAATGGCTCCCTTACTGGGTAGATAGGTGGTTATTAGGCATGAAGCTTGTTGTGGGTTGAACTGTGTCTCCCTAAAAAGATGTGAAGTCCTGACCCTGGTACCCGCAAATGTGACCTTATTTGGAAACAGGATCTTTGCAGAGGTAATTAAGTTAAAATGAGGTCATTTGGATTAGGGTGGGCTCTAATCCAATGACTGATATGCTTATAAAAGGAGGGAAGTTTGCGGGGCGCCTGGGTGGCGCAGTCGGTTGGGCGTCCGACTTCAGCCAGGTCACGATCTCGCGGTCCGTGAGTTCGAGCCCCGCGTCAGGCTCTGGGCTGATGGCTCAGAGCCTGGAGCCTGTTTCCGATTCTGTGTCTCCCTCTCTCTCTGTCCCTCCCCCATTCATGCTCTGTCTCTCTCTGTCCCAAAAAATAAATAAACGTTGAAAAAAAAATTTAAAAAAAAAGGAGGGAAGTTTGGACAGACACTCAGAGAAGAGAATGCCAAGTTATGAAAAGAGGCAGAGATTGGAATGATGCATCTGCAAGTCAAGGATTCCTGGCAACCCCAGAGGCTACGAAGAGGGAGGGAAGGATCCTCCCCTGGAGCCTAAACACAGAGCATGGCTCTGCCAACTCTTTGATTTCTAATTTCTAGCCTCTAGAACTAGGAGAGACTATATGAACTTCTATGTCACCCAGTTTGTGGTAATTTGTTACAGCAGTCGGAGGAAAGTAATAAAAGGCTCAGTATGCAGAAGGTCACTGCATCACATGAAAGTTAAACGCATTACCTTATCCTAATTTGCAGATTAAACTAGCCAGACTTCACTTTCCACAGGATGTCACTAGTGGCACCATTTGGTCCAAGGGCTCATAATTTTTATGTAAATATTTTTAAAAACATGAAAATTCTTTCAGCATAACTTAACTCAGTGGGGTTCTCAATCTAGACTGACTGCACCCTAGTATTACCCAAAAACTCAAGAAAATATGACCACTAGGTCCCACTCCTAACTATTAACATTTTTAAAAAGCAGTCAGGTTGTGAACCACTATTTTAATTAACCTCTCAAACAACCATAGTGATAGCTTCAGAAGTTTGACCTGAAAGTATACTTAATATAAACAAACTGCATATATCTGATCCTGCCTCAAAACTTTGGGAACCAGAATGAATTGCTCCAGGGGATAAAGAAATTAAATACGCCAGATTAGATGTATTTTAATTATCTTTCTTGTAACCTCCAAAGAGCAGTTAAAGGAAGTTACATTGCGTTACCTTGGATTTACAGAATTCTTTGATTAAAAAAATTTTTTTTTAATTTTTAAAAATTGGGGCGCCTGGGTGGCTTAGTCGGTTAAGTGTCCGACTTCA